CCCCCCCCCCCCCCACACACACACACACATAAATTAGAAAACTACAAGGGAACCTTGAAAAGATTACAAAAAAACACGAAATATATAAAAAGTATAAACCACCACCCGAAAATTTAAAAATTAGAAATAAACCCCTTTAAAATCCAAAAATTATAATCAACCTCTTGAATATTCTAATAATTACAAACAATCTCTAAAAATCTAAAAAATTATAAACATCCATTTTTTGGGTTTTTGCCAAAAGTTATTGGGGTTGAAGTGAAAAAATGTAAACTTATTAGGTTATTTGGGTTTAATTTGGTCATTTGCTTACATATGAACTAATGATGTTAGCTTTGAGGGTTTTTTTGGCAAAATTTATAGGAATTTAGTGAGAATTTTAAAGATATTTAAGATTTAGTTCTAAATAGTAAACTTATTGGAGGATTAGTGAAATTTACCCGTATGTCTATTTTGAGATTTCATGAAATTGCAAATCAAAACCCTTGGAAAATCTAAATTTCAAAAAATACTTTTAGCATTCTAAAATTATAAACAACCCATGAAAAATTGATAAATTACAAACAACCTATTCAAGATGTAAAAGTACAAACAACCCCCTTTAAAATTTAAAAATTACAAACAACTCCCAAATATTCAAATTTTCAAACAAACACACGAAAAATATTAAAATTACAAAAAAATCTAATAAAATTAAATATGAAAAATAATATCCTAAAAAATTTTGAATTGCAAATAGCCCCCTAGAAATCTTTAAAATCATACACATACCCTTTAAATTAAAAAATTACAAACCTCAAGTAAATTACAAAAAAATCCCAAAAAATATAAAAAAGTACAAACAAGCCCTTGAAAAATCTAAAAATTAGAAACAAATCCCTTAAAATCTAAAAATTACAATCAACCTCTTGAAATTTTTAATAATTACAAGCAAACTTCTAAAAAAAATCTTAAAGTTATAAACATCCGGTATTTGGGGTTTTTTGCCAAACAATATTAGGGTTAAGTGAAAAAACGTAAAACTAATTGGATTATCAGGATAAAAATGTTAGTTTTCATCAGGGTGTAAAGTGAGAAGAGTTCATGGGGATTTCTTAAGTTTTCAAACTTGTGGTAGATTATCTATAATAAGCTCAAACATGAGGGGGTTTCTCAAATTAAAATAGCTGAGGGAGGTTTTCTTAGACACACCCTACATTTGAGGGGGGTTAAGTGAGGAAAATTCAAGGGGTTATCTCAAATTTTCATAAGTAATGAGGGTTATCTACAATATGCTTAAACTTGAGGCGATTTTCTCATATTAAAATAGTAGAGGGGGTTTTCTAAAATTAATCCACTGTTATAAATAGCGGTAAATAGCGTCGTAATAGCGACACTAATAGCGTTAGCGGTCCCTTCCCGCTACGCTATCGCTAATAGCGGTGACATGTTGCGGAATATGCGCTTTCCACTCGCAAAAGCAGCTAATAGCACGTCATAGCAGTGAATAGCGACGATTGCAGGCAGAATCTGCTTTTTTATCGCTATTTAAAAGTGGTTTGAGGTTTTTTTTAAATTAAATTCGACCAATAACCACTACATCTCACCACCTCCCGCGATTTCCTGCATATTCCCGCTCGGCACCTCCCTCAACACATCCTCTCACCTCCTCTCACTATGAGCCCTCCTACTTTAGTCCTCTCACCGCTCAGCTCATTTTCTCAAACACGAGAACTATTTGACTCCTCCTCCAATCGTCTTCGGTATTATGTGACGGTTACATGTCTATTTCATGTTTAGGATCCCTTAAAGTCATCAAACATGCACTTTTAAATTTTCTAAAATTTTTAATTTTTTATTATTTTATACATATCTAAATTAAACTGCTATTTGATTTTGATTTTTTTACTGTAATAGTCACAAATAGCCTTAGTGATGTCTCACCGCCATGCAACACTATCCACTATCTGTTATGGTGTTTTCAATCGCCAAAGTGTAATCCTTTGCCAACGGGCAGATGTACTTCTACATGCGATACCCCAATCAAATTGGCGGTCAAGACCAGTAAAAATCCCGACTTAGCCGACTCGCAGAGTCGACGTCTTCTTGTGTCGACTCGAATGACGGTATTTATCGGTCCTCTTGTCGAAGACGACTTGCTTCGAACCTACTCGACCAGTTATTCGATTCCTCGCGGGATTGACTCGAAAAACGTTACTTCTCGGCCAAACTAAAGGACGACTTTAACCTCGAACCTCTCCCACTGATAACGTATCAGCATCGCATTTAATACTTGGCAGACGCCATCATGCCTCTAGTCCCGATAGTCTTTATGACTCATCGGACCACGTTGATACTGTCATGCTCCCGATCACTTCACATTAAATGCTGAGGTGATCTCTCCTCCACTCCCCGACCGACACGTGTAAAGTATGTGCTGAGTCCATACCTATTTACCGCCATCCTATGCTCGGCCGGAGTCACCATTCTACCATTTCAACATCACTATAAATAGAGGTACTATTCTAACATAAAAAAAACTGACTTTTAGACTGTTGATCTAACCTTTTAAGCAATATCTGCAAATTATACGGCATGACACTAAAAAACTCATGTAGTTCTTCATTTTCCCCACTCAAGTTCATCAACTGACTTGATCGTCGAAGGTACCACGGGGGAACCAAACGCCGTCCTCTCACGAGTTGCTATTTGTGCATGCTGAAAGCTACTCAACTCAAAATCAGATATTCGGAGAAGGGAGCAGCCCCTCATCAACCTCACTCATCACATATATTTGACTATTTGATTATTTAACATCAACACTATCAATAACCTTGATAATATCAGAAAATCCCCCTGAGCGGTGATTATCACTCACAACCCCCCCCCCCTTTAACTTTTAGATTTTATCAGAAAACCCCCATCAACTTTGAGATTTTTGCATAAAATCCCCCTAAATTTATCGCATTAGCAAAGTTTTCTAATAAGATCTCAATGTTAAAGTGGTTTTCTGATAATCCCTAAACTAACTGGATATTCTAATATTTTCAAAGTTACGTGCGGTTATCTAATTATCATCCAAAGTTAAGGTGAGTTTTCTGATATTTAGCCTTTAAAAATAGTATACTTTGTCCACATAATTATCTGCACTAAACATGAAATATATTATTTGCTTAATAATTTACTATATCAAATAGGAAAAGATGTAGCATCTTGCTATAAGCAACCAACTTAGTGGAAAGGGTTTTTTTTATTCTTTTAATGGATGGAAAGGGTAGTTTGAAAAGTGAAATGTGGATATTTAGGCTTTTGAAATGTTCAATAGGTATGTTAATTAAAAAGATTCATGTGTGTAAAATTACTCAAATAAGGATTCTTAATTTACAACTATATTCTAATTTAATGTATTCCATTTTAAACATTTTTGTCTTTTCCAATATTATACTTTGTAGACATGCGAGAAGAGGTATAAATTAGTTTTAGGCTTTTAGCCACACATTTAAGTTTTTCTGATTTTTTATTATGAGATGTTCAATATGTATCATTTTAAAGTATTTAGGTTCTTCACCAATTGTGAGCCTTTGAGATGTTCAATAAGTATGTTAATTAAAATAATTATGTAAGTAAAATTACTCAAATATGTATCGTTTGAGTTTTCTAATATTTTGATTATGAGATGTTCACTATATATCATTTCAAAAGATCTAGGGTCACTCGCCCTAGCAATTATTTTGACAGACTTGAATTAGAATAACTACATCCCAACAGAATACAACTAGCCACTAAGTACTAAGAAATAGAGATGAGTCCTGATAGATGGTATAGCTGACGCGATTAAGCTAAAAAAGTTCTAAATTACAAGAGTAATCAAATGGGATAGGGAAGGACACTTAAATAAAGAGAAATATGATACTCATTAAAAAAACAAAAAAATAAAAAAAATTTAGAGACATGAGCATATCTTCAATTATATGAAATAGTCAAAGTTAGCTATAAAACAATTTTATGCCTTAAAAAATAACAAGTTACTCTACTAAGAAAAGTTACTCTACTAAGAAAAGGGTACGTAATAGCATGAAATATATCAATTCGTCATTTCAGCTTGCTAACTTTGACAATCCAGAACATAAACAGATAGGTTATAAATATATTACTTTGGAAATTTTTCATAAATAAAATTCATGATTATTTGCATATAATTTTCCTTAAAGAGTCTATTAGGCTCATGGGACATCATTAAAGAGGAAATTACTAGATTATTAAATTGTGTATGGTACAAAAATTAGAATATTATACTATGAATTTGTGCAAATTATAAGATGACAACACAGGATTGCGGTGAGAATAAAATGATTTGCATAAAAGTTATATTTTTTTCATAAAAAGATTTTGATTTTCATGTGGTATTTATTGTAAATTGTACTAAATGCAAATTGACCATGTAATTTAGACTTTGGTCATGGTAACTTGAATACTTTTGATTAACTATATAGGTATATAGACAATAAATTATTTTACTTTTATGCATGAAAATAAAAGAAATATTTTACAACCGAATTAAGTAAGAAATAGACCCAAAAAATAATAAATATTTAACCACATGCAATGCACGTGCATCTACTCTAGCGTACTTTTTTTAAGCTACCCGAGACTATTTCAATCAATCGGAAACTTCTGCTGCTCTGGAATATGACAGTAACAACATTTCAGAGGATTGCACATTGTAGACTAAGTTTGCACAAAAAGCCCACTCCATTATCAAATAAAATACTCCAGATATGGTGTACCTCATCCATCAATCATTCATAAGTGATAAGACATGCATGTGATTTAATTAACCAAGTAGAAACGATCCGAATTAACTACTGATAACATATAGTTTGATTCTACCTCCAAACACCTTTCCAAAAGCTGTCTACTTCTTGGATAGTCCCCATTTCTATAATGTCCAACAGCCAAAAGATAAAGCTTCTCTCTCATTTGCAGGGGGCTGTTGGAACTATCCAATGAGGCTGAAACAGCAGAAATTTCCAAAAATGAGCATAAGCATAATACTATGATATAACATAACAATGATAAGAAAAAACTGAACTATAGTGTCGAATTATGTTTCACCTTCAAGCATGGCTATTCCACGATTCACATCTTCTGGTTGTCGGGAATGAACAAGAGCCCACGACAACCTCATGAGGCTGTCGTTCTTACTCTCTGTGCTTCCGCTTTCAGCAACCTCTCTCTCGCAGCCCTGCACACATTGGAAAAGGAATTGTCTGCATAAATACGTGCAAGATAAATGGCCAAACAAGTAGCAGCCTAATGGATAATGTAATGCTTCTCTCCAGCCTTTAACATGAGACAGAAATAAAATAAGAAGAAACAAAAACACCAATAACTTGCAAAAAGAATTTATAACAAGCTTACAATCTACAGCCACAGGCTATCTTTTGACATCATGAAAGCAATCGGGAGTAATTTTCTGCTCAATTCCTAAAACCCTGATAAAAAAACTATAGAAATTCTTACTGTTTAATGCTAACAGTGGTTCGGGGACAAATTTGTCTTGACCAAGCTTCAAAGGGGGCATTCACAACAAATTCAACAATAAAGTTAGCAGCACAAGTAGCAAATTAACTGTTTTGTTGGAGAAGTACCTAGGTTATCTTGCCCTGAGGAAGAATTCTTACGTAAGCTGATGTGAGTTTGTACTGAATGTTAGGATTATCCGATCTTTACCTGACTATTAGGGTTATCTGATTTTTATCTAACCATTAGGGTTATCCGATCTTTACCCTGCATCAATATTATGGTTTACCTTTTAATGTCACTTAGTCTCCTGACCTCCAACATGCATGCTAACTTTCTAATTCTAATATGTGTAAATGCTGCCAGAATTATCATAATGAATGAATGAGAAGAGATAAATGTCGGCATGTTATGACAAAAACAGCAGCTGCAACCTATGATGCACGGATACGGATACGGGACACGGATACGACACGGACACGGATACGGGATACGACAAAATCCAAAAAAATAGGATACGGGGATACGGCGAGGATTTTTTTTAAAATTATTATTATATATAGAAAAATTTATAAAATTCAACTAACAATCTAAATTATGAATTAGCTTGGTAATTACTATTTTAAGCTCTTTTCTCTAATTATACTAATTAATAAGTTATTACTCAGTGACTTTGTTTTTTCTTTTTACAGATTATACTTGAGACTGAGTTAAGTGGCAACGAGCAAGGATGAATGATCAATCAAATTTTCCAACACAGCTGTCAAAATAAATATCTATAATTCATTCATTAAATATGTATATTCATATTGTATTCCTCTAATTAGAAAATCTTCATGTTCTAATTAGAAAATCTTCATATGTATATTTATATTGTATTTCTATTTTCTAATTAGGATGCAGTTCTTGTTTTACTTGGTTTAATTAAAAGAGAGAATAAATTCCAAATCTTCATCATTGCCTTAACAAATAACTAGAATTGACAAAACTTCATCATCATTGTCTTAACAAATTGAAATGTTAATATTCATAATTTATTTGTGTAATGTTAATAATTGATTTGTGTTAAAAACTAAAATTAAAATTGAAAAAAATATTCATATGTTAATAAATTGAAACTGAAATTAAAACTAAAATTAAAAAATATAAAATATCAAAAGAAGTGACTTGCTCAGTTGCTCAGCACTTCAGCAGTAGCACAAGCTGCATAAACAAAAAAAATTGTTAGGTTTAGTTATTCAGCAATTTAGGAGCAGTTTAAACAATACACATATTAAAACCAAAGTGCAATAAACTATTAAAACCAAACCTATTAGTTCAGCTTATGTCTTTTCAAAAAAAAATAAAAAATAATAAAAGAGAGAGACGAAGAGAGAGACAGAGATGAGAGCGGACGGAGATCGTCCAGGAGACGAAGATGAGATCTTCTCGACAGAGACGAAGAGAGAGAAAAGACGAAGATCAGATCTAGAGAGAGACGAAGACGGAGATCAATCTCGAGAGAGAGACGAAGAGAGAGAGAGAGAAGATGAGATCTAGATCTGAGAGAGAGGCGTGTAACGGCGTCGGAAAGAGAGAGAGAGAAGAGATCTTACCTAGCGTCGGAGGGGAGAGATCGACGATGACGGGAAGGGAGAGATCGACGGCGACGGGAGGGCAGAGATCGATGACAACTGGCGGATCTTCGAGAAGACGATGAGCGGCGGATCTTCGAGAAGACGATGACGAGAGAGAGACGAGGACGAGCGGCGGATCTTCGAGAAGACGATGACGAGAGAGAGAGAGACGAGGACGAGCGCAGGCTGAGGTAAGTGAGAACTAGGGTTTTGTAGCGACTAGCGGGTTTGGGTTTGGGTTACGGGTTTTGTTTTTTGTTCGTCATTTTTTTCTTAGTTCAACGAATCGACCCCGTATCCCGCTCCTCAGTTGACCGTGTCCCCCTCAGTTGACCCGTTGACCCGTGTCGGACACGGTTTGACCGTGTCCGACACGTGTCGTGCACGTGTCGTGCACGTGTCGTGCACGAATCGGTGTCTGATTCGTGTCAGACACCGATTCGTGGCCTCCGGGGGAGTATCCGTGCTTCATAGGCTGCAACATATTGTTTACTGATCTTTCGGTTCTTCATGTTATGAAAATATTTATATGAATGCCCCTCGGCTTATCTCTTGAAAATAAACGAACCCCATATATTCAATTCTTATCAAACCAACACCATTTGCAGACGAGAATAACAACTATACCATTGTAATCAAATACAAACTGATCTTATCGCTGAAGATATCAATGACTAGAAGGCTTACTGATAGCATCTGAATCTCAATTCTCAAGCAAGTGATTTCCTTCAAACGAATTATTTCTAGGATCTGTCGGAATTCAAAAATATAGACTGAAATTTAAAAAAAATAAAAACTTATCTGTTCACCTTTCAAGAAGTCCAAAGAGCTAAAATATATGGAGAAAAAAGGACCTAAGATGTCATATCACTTAACTGCCATAAGGGGCAGCTATAACTAACAAATTGATCATATTTAAGGCACCCAAATTGTACATCTTATCTACAATGTTGTTGCACCAAATATCACAAATTTAATTAGTTATAACTTCTAACCCACTTCTCAAATGATCAGCAAAAGAATGGCTTACTGGGCTAGATATCTAAAACTCGTGCAATATTTTTATATAATGGATACACCCCTCGTATTATGCAGGTTTGCCACTTATTACAGCTGAACTTTTTTTTAAATTAGTGCATGAATCTAAGATTCTTTGAACTTTTTTACCCTCAAGGGATCTGTAACCACAATTCCCCTTTCCTCAAAACACACAAGCCTTCTTTCCAAGAATGCTTTTAGGACTTACCATAATTAGACAAAATGCAACGCTAATTCATTTCTTATTAAACTAAATAGCCCACCCCGGAATCGAACCCCAGAACGTGGGAGCCATGTCGGATCCTCAAAACCGTCCAGCTAACCCGCAATGGGTTAAACGCGGACACTAATTAAAGATTACAGTGTTTTCCACGAAACTTATAGAATATTCCCCCAATACATTATGATTCGAGAATAATATTAACAAAAATCTCTCCTTTCAGCAATTAGATAGAAGCAGTTCATACCATCGGCATTATTCTACTCAAATTAAACAATCAATCGTAGTGAATCGAAAAAGGATAGATCTACGGTTTAGTTGCTTACAGCGATGATGTCGCGATCGCACCAGGGGATGTTGTCGCCGCCGGTGAAGAAGGAGCCGACGGAGTCGAAGAACTTTCCGATGGCCGCGTCCATGATCGATTGGTGATGATTTCCGATCGATTGATTTCGAAGGATTAAAGGGTTAGGGTTTTTTTTAATAATGAATAGACTTAGGGCCTGTTCGTTTGCCTTAAAAAAATGGGAAATCAAAGAAATAGAAAACTATTTCTAAGAAAAATGTGTTTTTGAATTGTTTGGTTGGCTAAAAAAAAAAGGAAATCAAAGAAATGAAGATGAGATGAGATGAGTTGTCATATTATTATTGGATGATGTGAGTGGTTTTTTAAAAAAACTAGTTTTGATGTTGTTCGGTTGGCCAAAAAAATAAGGAAATGAATTATTAGAAACCTATTTCCTGTAGTTTTGTTGTTTTCTTTTGTTTGGTTCATTCTTAAAAATAAGAAATGAAATGAGATGAGATGAGTTGTCATTGTATTATTGGGTGATGTGAAGAAAGATTAAGAAAAGTGTTTTCACAACTTTTTTGGATGAAAACAAAGAAATGAAATGTTAATGAGATGAGGTGAATTGTTATAATATTTTATGTGATGATGTGAGTGATTTGAAATGATAAAAAGAGATGAGTTGAGTGATGTTTGGATGAAAATAATATTTTATTAGATGAGATGGATGAGTTGTTAGATGAAAATAATATTTTATTAGATGTGGTGGATGAGTTGTTAGATGAAAATAATATTTTATTAGATGTGGTTAGATGAAAATAATATTTTATTAGATGATGTGGATGAGTTGTTGGATGAAAATAATATTTTATTGGATGTTGTGGGTGAGTTTTAGGGATGGAAATGAAAGAAATGGATTATTTTGAGATTTCCACCTTTTCCATTTCTATTTCTTGGTTTTTAGGAAATAAACAAACATGCCCTTAGGAGGCAAGAAACTAACGCGAGAGAGAGGGAGAGAAATATCTCAGGAAAAGAAAAGCGGTGGGTGACTGGGTGACAAGAAGTTGGGATCCTCTAATTAGGTGTGTCCATCCGGGTCGGTTCGGAAATCCGGGCCCATGCCGCGGATCCGGGTACCCCAGGTCGGGCTTAGGTCCGGGCCCGACTGGGCCGGGTTCCGGACCGAACCGGTTTATTTTGTTTTACTTCTATTTAAAATTTAAATTATACAAAAAAGAACAAAAAAATTAATAAAAAACAATAATTTTATTAATCACTTAAAATGATATAAATTACAAAAAAAAAATTTATAATTTTTTTTAATAATTAATAAATCATTTACAAATTATAAGTATAAATTTATTTTGGAATTTATCGCATCACAATAGATAAGTATATCCCAACTAGGTTTTTTTAAAAAAAAATTCTTTTTTTTTTTGATAAAAAAATGCTAAAAATTAGTTTAACATTATTATATTTTATATAATTATGTATTAGTATATACTTACAAATTATTATGTAACTATATATTATATATACATATATTATATGTAAATATATTGTATATATTTATAAGTTATAACTTGAGAGAAAGATAATCGCATAAGTAGCCGTTACCCGTTGGGCCAATGAGGAAAAAGTAGCCGTTGTAATATACTATACTTATATACTAAGAGAGAGAGTATACACACACATATTATACATATATAAGAGAGAGTATACTTATATAAGAGGGAGTATACATATATAAGAGAGAGTATACTTATATATACATATATACTAAGAGAGAGAGTATATATATATATACACACATATATTATACATATATAAGAGAGTGTATACTTATATGTACTTATATAAGAGAGAGTATACATATATAAGAAAGAGTATACTTATATATACATATATATTAAGAGAGAGAGTATATATATATATACATACATACATACATACATTATACATATATAAGAGAGAGTATTCTTATATATACTTATACTAGTGTGCAGCCCGTGCGCAGCACGGTGTTTTTTTTTTTGCTACAGTGTTCCCGCCGTTTTTAAACTCTCCCGGTTTGAATTCCCGAGCTGCTGCAGTAACCGATCTGCTACAGTGGCTTTTAGATTTCTCATCTGCTACAGTATTGCTGCTACAGTAAATCTACTGTAGCATTTACTGTAGCATGAACAGTGACTCTTTGTTTCTCCCATTTGTATAAAAGAATAGATAAGAGAAAGTATACTTATATATACTTATATATATATATACTTATATAAGAGAGAGTATATATATACACACATATGACATATTATACATATATAGAAATATATTATATATACATATATTATACATATTATATATATTTATATATACATATATTATACATATATAATACATATAAAAAATAAAAAAACCACTATTCCGGGCCGGGCCGGGCACCAAAGAGGCGGCCCGGGCCCGGGCCGGAGCCCGGACTCGAGGCCAGGGCCTGGCCGACGGGCTTTTTGGACACCCCTACCTCTACTAATGCTAATAATGAGAATTGTGAAGAGTTGGGAGGGGGCTCACAAGGATGGGTGGCAAAATAAAAGATCATGATCAAAATGAAAGGCTAGAAATACTAGGATCTCCTTATTAGGAGATATTAGGAAATTTTTATTAGTAGAGAATCTGACGCAGCGCGGAAGTGATAACCTCAGAATCCACGGATCCCAATCCGACAAGAAGCTAGCCGCCTGTCGACTGCCGTTTACGAGAAGCTGAGATTTCATTCTGGCGCGTCACTGAACGTTGCTTGGGCGGAGTACGATTAAGACAGGCCCAACTAGAGCCGAGTCTGCTTTATTTTGGACCCTTTCGATATGGGCCCTTAAATCAGTTAAACCTTTAAAATTGTCATGGTCTTCCCCCATGTATATGCCCCTATGTACTTTTGAATTTCTCCTCCAAACCATTACAATTCTAAATTTAACCTTTAAATTGGTTTATTCCCTGGTTATGTTCGGTAGTTTGTTAATAGAAGGGAAGGGAAAATAAGAGGAGCGAAATTGGGAGAGGGCAAGTCGAAAGGGGGGAAAAAGAAAAAGGAAAAAGGTTAATAAAAGAAATAAAGATGAACAATTTATTAGCTGTTTGATTCAAATCACGACGGTGTAAATTATTTCACCTCTATTTGCATCTCAATGTGGAGGGGGGAATCAAATCATATAGGTTCCCTTAAAAATGCTTCAAATGAAGTACAACTTTTTTTGTTTCCCTTTCTCTCCCCTTCATTCTACCATTCTACCCTCATTCAAATGGGATGTTTTATTTCATCCTCAGTCCTAATTATTTTTATTTTTTTTAACAAAAAGGGTTAAAAGTACATAGTATTCCTATTACAATAATTTTGAAAAGCAAACCGACAAAATAACGCGTTGAGTTATTATTATTTTTTGTCCACGAAACACAAGTTGATGTTCATTTTCAATTCCAATAGTTAAGGCTGGTTTTGTGGGTTTTGTGGGTTTCAAATTTGCAAGGGAGGCTGGATTTCATTTTTCATGTGATTGAATAGGGTTGCTTGAGAATTGTTCACAAGTTTAAGAATAAAGATTTTGAGTTTCATGTGTGAGGGACACTGTTTGAGAATTTGTTCGAGCTCTTTGTAGCGTGTTCATCTCCAGAGATTTCATATATTCCTTCGAGATGCAAATAAGATCGCGCATCATATTGTATTATTTGTAGGGGTGCTAAACCGTATCCGTATCTGAGAAAATATCCGTAACTGTATCCGTTAGGATACGAATATGGTTACTCAAATCTATAACCGATAGGATATGGTTACAGATATGGTTTTATAGTGAAATATCTGTATCCGTATCCGAAATATCCGAATACATATTAGTCATACTCTTACGAATAGTTTCGATTCTTAGATTATGGATTTATAGTTAATTTTGATGATCCAGATATCTAATCTTAACTTTTCAATTATAATGAACATATTAACAAACTCTTTTGTATCACATGAACTATGTTTTTCTCAATACTATTTGGTTTTCTCATATCTGTTTTGTATCTGCATGCATATCCGTTTATATATCCGCATGTATATCCGTAACCGTATCCGATTTTAACGGATATGGTTATAAAATTTTCTTACCGAGGTATATCTGTATCCGTATCCGTATCCGAGATGAGTAAGCAGATATGGATATGATAAGCATCATATCCGAGCCGTATCCGGACCGAATGCACCCCTAATTATTTGGGAGAAGGTTGGAGGGCAACCGATTAGTTTTATTGCGTAGGGCTTGCAGAGACCTTGTTGTTTTTTTTCCCAAATAAAGGAAAAAAACAACAAGATAATGCATTTATTTTTTTTCCCCTGTTCACGAAACATAAGCTGATGCGCAGTGTCCCCGTGGAGGGACCAATTTGTTGCAAGATCGTCCAAGATTTGAGGAGCAATGAGCAATTTTGAACCTCTGTGGGACTAATATGCAAACATTGAAGATTTGAGGGATGAAACTTGGGTAGCAAGTAATAACACGGAAGCTTAAAAAATCCCCTAAACTAGTTAGCCTAAACACAAGCTGTTTTCAAATTTCTGTAATCCATTTTATTGGGGTTTAGGAAGGAAAAAAAAAACTAAAAGCAGTTACCAGAGCAGCAATTGACAGAGAATCTCTCTGCAATCAAGTTCAAGCTCCAATGGAGCTCCCATCCCAACGAAGAAGAAGACCCACCCCAGATCACCCACCGTACTCCGAGGTACGCCCCCATCATATTCTTTTTCAAATTACACCCCCATTTTCTTGTTTCCGCCCCTCCTTTTACCCCCCGCCCTTATTTTTTTTCATTGCAGATGGTGCAATGTGCAATTAGGGCTTTAGGCGAGGACCAAGGGTCCACGGAATCCTCAATCTCGGCCTACATCAGGGCCCACTACGAGTCCCTCCCCTGGGCCCACTCCCGCCTCCTCCCCTACTACCTCCACAAGCTCCTCCTCGCCGGCGAAATTCGCGAATCCCCCCTCCCCAATCGGTTCGCTCTACCCCCAGACCCTGACCCTGACCCTAGTACCCCACTAAACCCTAGCCCCAAAGCCCTACAAAGCCCTAGCGTCTCTCCTCCGCCTGATACCGGGCCGGGTCGTAGCTCTCGGCCCAGATTGATCCTGAAGCTGAAGAGGCACAAAGACCGTGAAAACTGGCGGTGGCTGAATCTCAAGACAAAAGAATTGAATGGGCATGATAATGAAGTTTCGACGTCGGCGTTGAAAGAATGAAACATATCGCTTCTCTATTTGTTCTAACAAAGAGTTGGATGCGTTACCTGGTTGTATTTTGTTGCTTGGGTTGGAAATGTCCCCCATTGCTTCACCGCGTGCTTACTTGTTTACCTTGTTGAAGTGAAGGGTAATTTGAATTTTTGAACACAACCCCGTCCCCTTATACCTCCGTTCACACGTATTCACATTTTGATTGTTGGAGTTTCCATGAGTATTTTAAAGAAGAAAAATTCCTCAATGACCCAAAATATGATAATGAGTTGGTCATCATTAATGATAACTCATTATCCAATAGGAGGTGGACATTTCACTTGTCCTCTTATTGGTCCCATATTTTGGGTACCTGTAGCAAAACTCGACTTGTTATTTATTGTTTTTAGGATAAGTTTCACAAGACTGCCATGGGCTTTGAGGGATTTTGCACAAAGGTAATGTAAACTTTGATGAGTGCCCGAAAAAACCCATAAACTACATAAATTTTTTGTGAACGAGGCTAATGATGAAAGTATCACGAACTTTTGGAGATTGCTGCTAATAAAGGGGTTTGTACAAAGCCTATTGTTTCTGCGGTTTATTTTTCCTTTTCTCAGCGCTAATTTCGTGCTTGCAACAATCAATAACAGTATATATATATATATGTCTGTCTTCAAGATCATTTAGCTTCCTCTCGGTGGTGTTGATTCCTTAGTAGATCAAAACGACGAATCTTGGTGTGTCTTTCACTGAAAGAAAAGCATGCAATTAAACCGACGCCTGGTCAGAGGTTGGTCCATGGGAGGACTCCGGTACGCTTTGACATTTTTGTTGATGATTTGATCAAGTCAAGATTCTTCGACACGAACCACTTGAGATGAGCTGGCAATAGCTCTTTGAGATTACAGTGCCTCATTTCCCCCCCCCATTTTGGTTCAGAAAGAGATCAGCTCATCCAGCATTAGGAAAATATATACAAGAGAGCTAAAAGGTTGTCTTCTTGTTGTTTTTGAGTCAGAAGCAGTGTGTGCTTACAGTCTGAAGATCACTTTGTACGTTAGTATATGTCGATGTATTTAAAGAGTTTCACAGATATTCTTGTTTTGCGACCTTCGCTGGATAAATTGGGGGCAAGAGGCAATTATATAAATTTATGCAAATCGTTGTTTTACTCTTTTCACATATTTTGGTAGAAAGCCTGTCAAAAAATGACACTTTTGGCACTTTTGGCAGGCTTTCAAGAGAGCTTTTCCCTCAACCACAGGGAACCAAACAGCCCCTCAGCTTTCATATTTTGCAGTCACGGTTGATAATTACCCTTTTCACGTCTTCTTCTTGTTTTCCCATTGGCCAGTTTCACAAAGTCCTCATTGACTTTGCAAAAGTTCCCAACTCAAACTATCAATTTTTGAATAAATGCTCCCTCACACTATGACCACAGAACATCTGCCTCGAACTTATTCTTTGGAAAATGGTAAGTTTTTTATAAGATTCGCGCTACTCATGTGCTCTTACACACAAAGAAGTGGGTTCATTGCAACTCATAATTTTTTTTTTTTTGCAAATTAAGAAAAAGGTCCCTTTTTGTGTGTAGGAGTACAAGAATGGTGTAACTAGTGTATAGTTATCACTGCCCTTATTATTTTTTGGTTTTCCTCTAAGAGACTGTTTGGATCGTTTTTTTGGATGTGTAAAGGGGGGGAAAGCTGTCAAAAATGTCAGTTTTTTGGCAGCTTTCCCCCAAAACCGTCTCTATAAGAGGCGATTTTGGGAGAAGTTGCCAAAAAGCTGACATTTTTGACAGCTTTCCCCCTTTTACCCATCCAAAAAACCGATCCAAACGGGGCGTAACCTCTCTGCTGCGACAAATCCTAGAATGAAATCTGGCACAAAGTTGAGGTGAAATTTTTTGAAAATTGAGAAGTGTTTTGTGAAAATCCCCAACGTTAGGGTGAGTTTTCTCCCATTTTCAAATTTCACAACGGTTTTGCGCAAACAACCCCGAAGTTCATTGGTCTTGTCAAACTTAACCATGAAAAGTATCTAGTTCCACGTTGGAAAAAAAAAAATTTAGAAGCGTTTCCGTAGAAGATTTTATGACGTAATAAAATTAATTTTATTGAGAAAAGCGAAAAAGCATCTTGGCCCTCATACTCGACCCGGTAAGTTTTCCTGTGGGTCAATTTGGGCTACTGTCGGCCTGGAACCAAAACAGTGCCCACAGCCCAAAACAATTTTCATCTTCCCGCTCCTCTCTCTCCTCTCTTCATTTTGAAATCCCTTCCCCAATTCTCCTCCCAAAAAATAATTTCCCCACTCTCTTTCTCTAGAATCCAATGGCTCCTCCATTTCTTTTTCCATCGGAGCTCAAATCCCTCGAAGAATTCCCCGATGACCACCGCCTCTACGCCGCGTCCCCCATCGACGCCTCCTCTCTTCGCCCCCCCGACCTCGAAGAGCTCGTCAAAGGTAAAGCCTTTTCCACTTCAAAGCCCCCAATTCCCTTCCACAAACCCTAACCCTAACCCTAAATTTCCAGGCCTTGCCTTCGATCTCTCCGACAAGGAGCTCTTCTGTGTGGAGGAGCAGGATGTTTTCGATCGAGTGTACTCACTCGTCAAGGGCTTTTCTTTCTTAAGCACATCGTCAAAGTTCAATTTTGTTGAAAACCTAAGATCCAATCTTAGCGTCTTGCTTCCAAATGTGGATTCGCTGTCACGGGTCCCGCTTCAGGAGGAGGAGGGGGAAGCGGTGCGGTCCAGTGGGGTTGAGATTGCAGCGAGGATTGCCTCTCATCGGAATGCGCTTAAGATTTATACATATTTTCTTCTTACTATTGTGCTTGCTGAGGAGTCGGCGAGCCAAGGGGCTACTGTGAGCTCAAAGGTAAGAGCTTTTCTTATTTGAAAAAAAAAAACTAGTTTTTAGAAGGAATTTTCTTTTGCCCGCTTGATTTAGGTACGTTTGCTTTTGCCTATATGCTGCCAGGTTAAGCATAGCTGCAAATATACCCCAAATCTAGATGGTTGTTAATTTACCCTCCAATTCTACTGTATCAAGTTTGGGGTATTCTAGCTGAACGTGGCATAATCTGGGGGCAGTATATTTCAAATCATGCTGAACTCTCAAACCTCTAATGTTCAGACAAGTTTTGGTCATGCTTGGTTACAGAATGTTGTACTTCAATATTTTTGTTAGAATTATCAAGGTTTTATTCCTGGTTTTAGGCAGCTTCTCAAGCTCGCAAGAAGAATTCTACGAATTCATGGAATTGGGAGTCACATAGGAGCCGGATAATCAACCTAATTTCTAATTCTCTAGAGATCAATCTCTCGCTCCTCTTTGGCTCTAGCAATATCGATCAGAGCTATCTGTCCTTCATCTCCAAGTAAATTCATACCAACTATGAACCAATATCAAACATCTTGACCTCCCTACTTACCAAATTTCCTTGCAGGTGCACTTTCACTTTGTATGAGAACCAGTCCTTACTAAGGGATGCTACCACAAGAGATAGCCTTGGTCGAATCATAGGAACGATAGCAACAAAGTACCATCAGACTGACCAAACTTGTGCATCCATCCTTCACTTGATATATAAGTTTGATTTCACTGTCCCCCACATTGCTGAAACAGTCAGCGGAGCAGAGAAGAAGTACGGTGATGGGAGCCTAGCTATTGCTCTTATCCGTGATATTGGTAGGACTGATCCCAAAGACTATGTAAGGGATGGAGTTGGAGCAGAGAACATTGGGAGATTTCTCGTGGAGCTTGCTGATCATTCCCCTAAGTTAGTCTCCACCAATGTTGGTGTCTTAGTCCCGCATTTTGGCGGAGAATCATATAAGATTAGAAATGCGCTTGTTGGGGTCTTGGGAAAGTTGGTTGCAAAGGCTTTCAAGGATGTGGAAGGAGACGTGAGCTCGAAGTCTCTGAGGTTACGTGGAAAGCAGGCTATGCTTGAAATCTTGATTGAGAGGTGCAGGGATGTGTCAGCATACACAAGGAGTCGGGTACTCCAGGTGTGGGCAGAGTTGTGTGAGGAACATGCTATTTCGATTGGGTTGTGGAATGAGGTGGCAACAGTAGCTTCAGGGCGACTGGAGGATAAAAGTGCAATGGTGAGGAAATCAGCATTGAATCTACTCATCACAATGTTACAACACAATCCATTTGGACCACAACTCCGTGTTGCTGCTTTTGAGGCAACATTGGAAAAGTACAAACAGAAATTGAAAGGAATGGAGCCTGGTGGAACGCCACAGGAGGATGATTCTGAGGGCAGCAAGGTTCATGAGCAAGCTGCAGAACTGCAGAATGAAAGTGTCAGTGATAGTTGTTTGTCTTCAAGTCAAGCGCAGGATTCTACTGTTCCAGATATTGGCAATTTGGAACAGGTTAGGGCTCTGGTCGCATCCCTTGAGTCTGGATTACAGTTCTCAAGATGCATAACTTCTATAATGACAACTCTGGTTCAACTATTAGCTTCCTCTTCGGCTACTGATGTGGAGAACACAATTCTTTTGCTGATGAGATGCAGACAGTTTCAGATTGATGGTTCAGAAGAATGCCTTCGTAAAATGCTTCCCCTGGTAAAACTTTATTGAACAACTATACAATATGAAGCTAGCAGTTTCTAGTAATATTAGATATAATGTATTACACAGTATGAAACTGATGTGCATTTATTGGAGATTACAGGTATTTTCTCAGGACAAATCTATTTATGAAGCTGTGGAGAGTGCATTCATAAATATTTATATCAGAAAAAATCCAGCGGAAACTGCCAGAAATTTGTTGAGCCTTGTCATTGACTCTAGCATTGGTGATCTTGCAGCTTTGGAAAGTCTAATAAGTAATTTGGTGTCCAAAGGGGAAATTTCAACTAACATGGTATCCCTCTTCTCTCTTCCTCCTTTGAAACTTCCTCGTTATTTCTCATAAATCTTGAAGAAGGATCATGAACTAACATGGTTATAAGCGATGCTTTAAATGTCGGCTGCCTTGTTAGACCTGTTAGCCGCTATGTCAGATCTAGGGGCTAACCGACACGATATGAAAATTTTCAATGCGTATTGCGCTTTCAGGGTTCATGTCGGATATATCAGGGGACATGTCAGATATGTCGGGTGGATATATTGGGGGACAAGTTGGCTATGTCAACTGATTTTTCAGTCTAAAAAATTAGCTATTTTTTGTTAGGTTCATCTAATCAGGTTTGAGTTTAAATTCCTAATTGCCTTAATATTGCTTCCAAAGACAAAACCCAATCAGTTAGGGAAATTGAAAAAAAGCCAAAGTCATTTCTGTTGCTCCTTTTCTCTCTCTTTCCTTCAACATCTCATTAGTCTCTTTGCTGAGCTATTCTTTTGACATTAATATCTTGTGCTCTTCTCTCTTCTTAACAAACTACTCTTTTCTCTCCTCTTTCCTTCAACATCAACCCTAAGCATCATAAGTTATTTACTATTTTATATGTTTAGACAATACAATTTATTAAATATGTTTAGATTCATTTATGATATTTATATTACACATATGCACACATCTAATATGACAATCAGATATTTTTTAATGCCCCCTGATATATCCTCGATTTTCACTATCCAACATGAATTTTAGTCGTCTGACATGAACCCGATATCCAACATTTAAAACCTTGGTTATAAGAGATCATTTTTTCTATTGACCATTTGGTAATATACTCGTACTTTTAATAATTCGTCATGTTTTTTGCAGCCGGCCTAGCATAGACTCTAAATAAGATAACTGATAAGCACTTAAAGGGATAAAGTGAATAAAGTCCCCCCCCCCTGTCATATATCAGCAGTGATTCCTCATTCTTGAAAGATGGTTTACTAGAAGATGCAATTCCATCGTTGAATAAAGTAGGAATCATGTTGGTCTAATTCCGGTGCTTTACTTGAAAATCCATCAAAAAATTGAGGCGGTTAACTAGTTAAGGGAAATCAAAGGCTGTAGAAGAAGGTATTGATTCATTCACTTTTTTTAATTTAAGTTCTCTTTTTGATATGTCTAGTCCATCCTCCAAATGTTGCCTCAATCGTTCACATCTTTTCGTTGATTGCATCTTTTGGCATCGCTTCATGAAATAATTCTAAGAATAGTGTTGGACTAGAATGGAGTCTTCAGTGGTACTTGGAGTTTCCCATCATCCCAAAGGAGGTGAGGTTTCATGAGCCATTGTCAGATTTTAGATCATTAAAACATTGTCATGTAAAATTGTATATGCACATCCTATGATAGGAAAAGGAGCCCCACAATCTATAATAAGTTCACTAGTTTGTTTTAGGTGGTATTAAACTGTTATTGTCGCTCTAAGTTGAGTAGGTTCACATAGATAAGTTAACTAAATGGTAGTTTTTCATTTTTATGAAAATACTTCTCAACACCAAATGTACTTGATGTTATCTTATCCCTTATCAAGATGGAGCAAAGCATATTGGACTTGTAAGATGTTTAAGAGAAGACCTTAAACCAGCATTTGGTCTTAGGTTTGTATCACATCCATTCAGTTTCAAGTTTGAGTTCAGTTTGAGATCATTCAAATCCACACAGATAAAGAAATGTTTGCACTAACATAAATTGGTTTTAGGAGGGTCTCACGTGCATTCACTTTTAAGTGTGAGTTTGCTCTAGGGAACAAAATAAGTAGGAATTTACTCCAATATTGAAAAAAGAGTTAGATGGAGACTAGTTAGAATATTTGCACTCATTAACTCAAACATGAAGATTTTAAATATGGTTCTAAATGTATCAGTCTAATCCATCTGTATCATGGATATTTGCAACACTAAAATAAATTTGGGCACACGCGCGAGTGTACACACATACGCACACATCCACACCCACCATGTGAACAAGGTTTTGGTTAGCTTCTTTTAATGGCCATGCTACTTAATGGCATTGTTTTAAAAAGTGGTATGGGCACCTATCTAGGCGACCTCTTAAACCTAAGCGGTATTTAGGCTGATCATCTTAGTCTCAGGAGTGCCTGGGGGAGAACGAGCTGCTTATGCGGACTGTACCGTGTTCGCAAGAGGTATATTGCTCACTTAAGCATAGTAATGGTTGAAGAGAGTAATCCATGTTAAAATGTACCGATCAAAACTCTATGTCCAAGCCCGTCTCAAGTAAAACAGTGAGGATATTATTTGAATCTTCAAAAACAATCCGTCCTCTATTGATGTTAAAAATGTCTATGTGCTACTTAAGCGTTTGCCTAGGTGCTTGTGTGCCAGGCGCTAGCACCCGAAAACACCTAGCGCTTTCTAAAACATTACTTGATAGATAACCCTAATAGGTTAATCCTAACTGCAGCCCTCATCATTCGATCTAGCTTCCCAGCTGAACGAAAATTAGGCCCTTGAGTTGTTCAACCATAAACATGACCCACGTAGAAAAGCAGACAAATGAGAGCAAAGGGACAAATGTCTTGAAATTTAAAAATAGCCCCATGAAAATTTAACAAACATCCCCTTCAAACTTTTGAAAATTACAAATAGCACCCCCATCCTAAAAACCATTCAAACAACCCTCTGAAAGTTTTGAAACCCTACTTTAACATATTATATAATAATGCATTAATGCTATAATATATCAGTGGTGTGGGGAAGGCATAAGGTTGGTCACGGGGTTTCCATGTTCCCAATACTGGAGATTGGTGGAACTTCCTACTATCAATTTGGGGATTAGAGGAAAATCCTAATCCCACCCGTGTCCTACTCCCTGGAGAACCAAACATGGGACTTGATTGAAGTCCTGGGACATTGAAGTCCCAGTTCCAGTCTAACATGGAACTAAACACTGCGTTGAAGATTTGGAAAAAAATAATATAAGAACAACGAAAATCCTGGCAAAGTAGCAGAAAGATAGGTAAAATAAAAATAGGCAAGGTTAAACATATGACAAAATGACAATTTTTTCAAAGAGTAAAGAGCTAACTACTAGAAGAAGAAAGAAATTAATTATTCACGACAAGACAAATATGAAGTCTAAAAACTAAACAGTCGAACATCGTAGTTATCCATCAATGTCCATTCGATTGTGTAGTATGTTTGTCTGATATATCTAACATGACTCATGAGCCTAGGCTGATGGTCGTTGATGCGAGATGCTGTAGATATGCTCACACAAAAATCCACACTTGTATCATGTTTGTTTCTACACATCAAAAATGCATGTCATGTATATACTATACAAAATTGCGTTTCTCCCATGCCATGATGAAATTGATTCTTATTGCTTGCAAATGATCCCCCCCGCAGATATCAGCCTTATGGGATTTCTTTAGCTTTAACATTAATGGGGTTGTTGCTGTCCAAAGTCGAGGAGCCTTGTTAGTTCTCTGTATGGCAGCAAAATCATCTCCTGGCATTTTGAGTTCTCACTTGCAAGATATTATTGATATTGGTTTCGGGCGGAGGGCTAAGGAGGAACCATTGCTTGCAAGAACAGCATGCATTGCTCTAGAAAGATTGTCGGAGGAGGATAAGCAAAAAGTGAGATGCAGTGGAAGCAGAGTTTTTGGGTGTCTTCAGAATTTAATTACTGGCTTTTGGCTTCCAGAGAATGTTTGGTATGCTGCTGTTGACAAAGCCATCAGCACCATTTACTCCATACATCCGACCCCTGAAGTATTTGCAGCTGATATTGTGAAAAAATCTTTAAGCTCTGTATTTGGTTGTGCCAGAAATGATGAAGTCCCCACTGGACAAGGCGAGGAAACCGACTATGTTTCTGTAGTGCCAGCAGCAAAGCTCAGCAGATTTCTCTTCATTATAAGCCATATTGCACTGAATCAGTTGGTTTATATTGAGTCTTGCATTAAGAAAATCCGGAAACAGAAATCCAAAAAAGAAAGGTCAAGGCTTGAATCTCTTCCTAGTAGTGATGATACAAATGAAGCAACTGAGGTGAGATTAACGAGGCAGATTTCTACTTTTCAAATAGCAATCTATTTGAGTTTATAAATTTCATGTTATTGATCACATGGACAGAACTGGATTAAGTTTCAAGAAAATAAAGTAAAATTTTATACTTTTGAGTTTGACAGGGGCAAGGTATAAATGCTGAGCTGGGCGTTAGTATATCTGAGGATGTGATAATTGATACACTTTCTGAAAGGGCCGAGAAAGAGATTGTATGTGGTCATATGACAGACATGAATATCGTTGGTCATTGTGCTCCGTTTCTCTCAAAGCTATGTAGAAACTTTAATTTGATGCAAAAGGTGATCAGTGCATGCATAGTTGAGATTTTTGTTTTGTTTTGTAGCAGTACATATTTTTACTTGGTTGCCTGCTATCTTGTCATCTACCTCATTTCCGGTCCATTTTCTGAACTCATACTTTAATTCTATATTCCAGTTTCCACAACTTCAGGCTTCTGCAATGCTTGCTCTCTGTAAACTAATGATCATTGATGCAGACTTTTGGTAAGTCATAGGCAAATTGTACCATCCCTTCTGGTTTATGAAACTGATGAAAGTTACGTGAACAAATTTCAGCGAAGCAAATCTTCAACTTTTGTTCACTGTTCTGGAGAATGCACCATCAGAAACTGTTCGATCCAACTGCACAGTGGCTCTTGGCGACTTGGCTGCTCGTTTTCCAAACCTCTTAGAACCCTGGACTGAAAATATGTACGCTCGTCTGCGAGATCCTTCCATATCTGTTAGGAAAAATGCTGTTCTGGTTCTTTCTCATCTCATATTAAATGACATGATGAAGGTACGGTTTGCTGACTAAACTCATTTTAGTTTCGAGGCTTTTGATTGTGGTTGTTATTTAATCAGGTGAAAGGATACATAAATGAGATGGCAATTTGTATAGAAGATAAGGATGCAAGAATATCAAGTCTTGCCAAACTTTTCTTCCATGAGCTGTCTAAAAAAGGTAAAATGATTATTCCAGTTAAAGTTTGGGTGTATAATACTTTGATCCTTGTCTTTGATCCATTTTATGATCCCGCAGGCAGCAATCCGATTTATAATTTACTTCCAGATATCCTGGGAAGATTGTCAAGCCAAAATCTTAAAGAGGAAGCTTTCTGCAACATTATGCAATTCCTAATAAATTCTATCAAGAAGGTAATGAGGCTTACCCTAATAGATCAGGAATTTTCTCTCACTTGTCATTCAAATATTTTTTTTTGCCTGGATCTTTGATAGGACAAACAAATGGAAGCACTTGTAGAAAAGCTGTGCAATCGGTTCAATGGAGTGACTGGTACAGTTTCCTATTGATATAATTCCTGATCTTTACATACTTATTACTTGTGTAGCTTCGATGTTTGCACTGCTGCAAACGGGAAGAGAACTCCTAATTGTAGCGAAAGTTATGGGAAATAATTGTACTTTTAAATGTCCCATTTTTTACACACAAGGAATTAGTATACAATTTCTTGTGTTTCCATTTTCAAATGTACCATTGAAGAGGTACAAAGCACCAACATGACATAAAATGTGCTGCAACAAAAGGATACCAAACCCAGGAGAAAAAGAAAAGGCCACTGTAATTTGTGTGTTGTTTTTTTCATGTTTTTTTTTTTTTTTTTTTTTTGGGGGGGGGGGGGGGAATGAAGCATAGATCAAATGCAGATAAGCGTGAGGTCAGGATTTGCCCATATCCTTAGATGAAGACTGCAAACAAGATAGAGAATTTGTTAATCTATAAGCAGGAGACTTTAAGAGTCTCTCTTACAAACGCTACCAAAGCCACAACTTGAAACCTAAAAAGTGGAACCCCATATTTTATAGGAAAAATGAGTTTTTTTTTTTTTTTTTGGGGGGGGGGGGGGTTCTAATGAAGCATAGATCAAATGCAGATAAGCGTGATCACAGACAACACATTTTGCATGGCATGGTCAGGATTTGCCTATATCCTTAGATGAAGACTGCAAACAAGATAGAGAATTTGTTAATCTATAATCAGAAGACTTTAAGAGTCTCACTTACAAACACTACCAAAGCCACAACTTGAAGCCTAAAAAGTGGAACCCCATGTTTTATACAAAAGAAAGAGGAAGGGAAGAGGCAACTGCAACTCTCTCTCCAAATCCATCTACAACCAAACACTTCACATTTTCCCTAGTTGTGTATACACTGAGCCAACTAATTTATACAAGCCAACAACTTCGATACCCCAAAAATAGATTTATAGTATAAATGGCACAATTTGTAAATACTTACCATAATTTCTGCTCTTAGTATTTCCGTTTAAAATATTGAGAGTGATTTTCAAACTTCCAAACCCGACTTTGATATTTGTTCAACTCTGAAGGGCAGTTTCAGAAACCAATTAGTTTGTCCATTACCTTTTCATCTAGCCCCAAATTCCTGTGTCGTCCACTCAAATTTGACAATGAGTGCAACCTCAATTGCCTCATCCCCCGAGGGATCATAATTGAGCGTGTGAAGTCCAGCGAACGATATGAACTTTCCAAGCTATCATTGTCATTATTAGTTTTCATCTCATCTGTTTGCCTTGCGATTCTTGAGTGTCAACGGAACTGCAGTGGAGGACTGGCCGACGTCGTCTGCCTCATAGGGCCTATCTTTCTCTGACTCTCACTAGCGGAGGTAAGGATATCGTTTTCGTCATCACCGCTGAGGGGGATCTATAGGAGAAGAAATTGGCTGTGCAATGTTTAAGTTGATGCTTTGTCAACGAGTTAGATTTTTTCCAAGAGAACAATGCTTTAGATATTTTTTTCTTTGGAACCCAAGTAACAACTATCTATTCCTTCTAATCCAACTAGATCCTCCACCAATTTACTAATCAGAAATTAACAGCTCCACAATTGAATTCGACCATCTTCATCGTTTAGATTTTTTCTCTCGAGAGAGATTGTGAAACAGTTGATCTTGCAACTGTAAGGAAGAAGATGGTAGAGAGAAGTACAACTTTACCCTTAAAAATAAAATTAAATAAAGTTAAAAAACTATTTGTGTAGCATATATACATATTTATTTCAAAAATATAGTTAAAATTGGTTATTTTGAGGTTCGAACCATGGTCATCTCTATGGGAGATTTAAAGCCTACCGAATAACCAAACTAATTTTGTAATATTTTTGATGTGGTTTTTATTATTATTGTATATTTATATATATGCCTCTAAGTATATGTAGTTTTTTCAAACCGAAATACGCCCGAATCTAGTTGGTACTTGCAAGTAAAAGTAAGAGTCTAGCAATCAGTAACAGTAAATAAACAAGATATACGTTGTTCGACAATGTGCCTACATTTACGAAACAATGACGAGCTTCTTTATTATGAAAGAGTAATCTGAGAAGTACAAACTCTTGAGAACAGTTTCCAGTTCTCTCCTCAATCTGAAAAGAATACCAAGAAAAGAACTCAGAAAATAGATGTTGTTTTCCTCAGAAATCCAATAATTTAATCGCTGGAATATGCTGATATCTATAGCAATCGTTGCTTCCTATTCCGAGTCTTAATAGGACCTGAAAACCCGTCTGTGTCCTTGTTTGAATACAAAAGAAAACCTGTACGCCTGTTCCGTATCTGACTTCTGAATAAGAATAGAAATCCCTATAGAATAGGGATCCTATTTTATAGGATCTGTATTCTGTCACATATATAGCAATCCTATTCCGTTTCAAACTCTACGGATTGAAACTGTGATCCATGAAATCCTACAATCTCCACCTTGGCGAACAATTTCAGGACACACCTCCATCAGCTCCATCAACTCATACATCTCCATATTAGCATGAAATCCCCAGCCAAGGTAGCCTGCTCGTCGTCGTCCTCCCGGCCTAACGGTCGTCCGCCCCTAAGGGCCATGCCCCCATAGGGCATCAACACTGAGAGAGTCGGATCAAGTTGAGACAATGCTCTAACCTGACCCCGGGTACAACCTTCGTCAACATATCAGCTGCATTATCCTTGGTATCAACTTTCTCTAGTATCACGACTCTGTCCTCGATGATATCTCTGATAAAGTGAAACCTAACATCAATATGCTTGGTCCTCGCATGATGAACCTGGTTCTTTGCCAAATGGATGACATTCTGACTACCAAAAGAACTGTAATATCCCTCAGAGTAACACCCAAATCACTAACCATACCTCGAAGCCATATAGCCTCTTTCACTGCTTCTGTCACTGCCATATACTCTGTCTCTGTCGTAGACAATGCAACCACTGACTGTAACATGGATTGCTAAGATATAGGACCCCCTGACAATGTAAAACAATAACATGTAGTAGACTGATGCCTGTCTAAATCTCCTGCATAGTTTGAGTCAACATAACCTGTCACAGCTGAAACTGACGATCTTTCATAGACCAAAACAACATCCAACATGCCTCGAAGATACCTCAAGATCCATTTGACTGCATGCCAATGGGTCTTGCCTGGATTAGCCATATACCGACTAACCGAACTCACTGCATGTGCAACGTCGGGACGTGTGCAAATCATGACATACATCAAGCTGCCACCCGCACTAGCATAAGGAACATGTGACATGTATTCCTTCTTTGCTACAATAGTAGTGGATTGCAAACCAGAAAGGCTGAAGTGAGCTGCCAATGGAGTACTGACCGACTTGGCCCTATCCATGCCAAATCTACTGACTACCTTCTCAAGATATTGTCTCTGTGACAAAGACAATCTACCAAGCTTCCTATCCCTCACTATCTCCATCCCGAGTATCCTCTTCGCTGGACCCAGATCCTTCATCTCAAATTCATTGCTCAACTGGACCTTCAGCAGCTCTTTCTCACGCTTACTTCTAGCAGCAATAAGCATATCATCCACGTAAAGCAATAAAGAGATGTAAGAACTATCTTGAAGCCTCTTGAAATAAACACAGTGATCATACTCACTCCGTGTGTACTTCTGCCCCATCATAAAAATCTTGAAGCCTCTTGAAATAAACACAGTGATCATACTCACTCCGTGTGTACTTCTGCCCCATCATAAAAGTATCAAACCTCAAGTACCACTGACGCATACTCACTCCGTGTGTACTTCTGCCCCATCATAAAAGTATCAAACCTCAAGTACCACTGACGGGATGGCTACTTCAGTCTGTATAGAGGCTTTCTTAGTTTGCATACCTTATTTTCCTTTCCAGCAATAGCATATCCATCCGGCTGAACCATGTAAATATCCTCTTCCAGATCACCGTGTAAGAAAGTAGTCTTGATATCAAGTTGCTCGAGCTCTAAGTCGTATTGCGCCACCATAGCTAATAAGACAAGGATAGAAGTGTGCTTAACCACCGGAGAGAAGACCTCGTTGTAATCCACACCTTCAGTTTGTGCAAAACCTTTCGCTACCAATCTTACCTTGAATCTTACACCCGCATAATTCCCCTTGGAATCTGGAATGCCCTCCACTTGCAACCTATCGCTCATTTTTCCTTAGGAAGTATCACCAGCTCCCATGTATGATTTTCGTGAAGAGACCGCATCTCCTCATCCATAGCCACCTTCCACTCATCCATATGCGAGCTTGGTAGTGAGGTGACACAATCCCCTCCACTCATTCAAATGGGGGACCACATTCACATGGGTTAAGGAGTGCATGAGGATATACAATAATTTGAATGAATGGAGGGGATTATGCCATATCACTACCAAACATACACATTTTATATATATATATAAGTTTATATATATATATATATATATATATTATATATATATATAATATATATATATATTATATAGATGAGGGAGCGAGAGAGAGAGAGAGAGAGAGAGAGAAGAGCAAAACTTGTGTCAACTTAAGTGGATAGCAAAAAGTTATTCACAAACTTTTTAGCCGCTCATATTACCTAAGGAATCCTTGCATGATATGAAAGGTTTTTTTAATATAATAAAAAATAGTGGCTAGGGAGTTTGGTGACATCAACTTAAGTTGATAGGAGTCTTTCTTTCTCTCTGTATCTCTCTCTCTCTGCTCTCTGCTACTTATATATATATTATATATTATATATATATATATATATAGTATATATATATATATATATATATATATATATAGTTATATAATATATTATATTAAAAGGCATGTACATTATGTGAAATATGTGATACTTGTATATAAAACATATATGTTGATATGTAAGTATATACTAATAATACTTATAAGTTAAATCTTTTAAAAATTTCTTAGTTATTTTTAACAAAAGTTTGCAACAATTAAAAAATTTAATCCAAAAAGTTACAAAAAATAAATTTATATTGGTTTTTTAAAAAACACACAATTTTTAATCCAATAAAATAAAATAAAATAAAAAGCAGGCCGACCTGGTTCCCGGCTTGCATCCGGCCAAAACCCGAACCTAGGTTGGCCCTGGTTCTGGGCAGGGCTTTGAACCATTCCCGGTCTGTTTGGGAACCCCTATGAATAGTTGTGTATTGACTTCTAGTCCAAAATGGCTCTTGAATACCCAAATATGGC